GCATTTTTGATTGGAAATTTTTTCTCAAAAAATGGTGGTGTAGCACAAAAAATTCAGCGACTAAGTGACTTACACTATAATAGTCAGTAAAAAAAAAATAAATCAATATTGTAATAATAAAATTATTTTCCTTCTAAGGATTTCTGCTTTTTATTAGGTAATAATGCATCATCATGATGCTTTTTTTTCCAACATTTATTCTTCTTGATAAATTTCATAAGTAATCTTTTCTTTGTCTAAATATGTTTGCAAAGATTTTTCACCTTGTTCTTTCTTCAAAATACTTCTAATGGTGCTGTAATTTTTGGGTTCCATTGTAGACCTAATGTAAATTAGCTTCATATTAACTATTTTTGTCTAGACAAATATCATGATCACATTATATTGTAACACAATTGTGATGTTAAAAACAATACTGATCCCTGAAATTCTTGGTAATACCAATGTTCACTTTGTCTGGTTTTGTTGCAGCATGCCCCATATTATTTTCAATACTCCAATTCGTCCATAAAGAAAATCGTGTAACACGCCGATTTTGGTATTAATGTTAAACTGTTAAGCTTTATGATCATGGTAATGTGACGTATCAAACAAAACTACAATTTTGTTTTTGGATTAAAGGATCTACACAGCCAATAAAAAGTCATGCGATTAAGTGACTTCACTGTAAATGTTTGTTAATATAATCAATCTACGCATAGATGGATAGATAGATAGATGTAGTAGATGACGACATTAACATTAATTTTTTTGATACTATAATCCGTTACATTAGGGAGAGGTCCGTGACACAAATTATGTATTATTTATATAAAAAACGAATAAATTTAGTTAAAAAAAATATCTAAATATTTAATTTAAAGAATGTCACATCATTTGCCCACTTCCCCAAAAATACAACCTCAATTCACCACATTAAAAACTAAACCTACTACACACCTTGTTTTAGAGGTTTCTTCGCCTGCTGCTGCTAGACGTAATTCTTCAGCTGCTGTCTCTATAAAAAGTTTTAACAGTGATATTCGCATAAAAGAGAATACTGCCGTTGACGATTATCTTATGGGGCTCATGAACAGATCTGCCTCGAATTCTTCTAATGAACAACCGTCAAATAATTATTTACCAGCATTTGGAGGCACCAGAAACATGTTTAATGGTCATAAGAGAAAAGCGTCGCATAGTGAACAAGACAGTGATTTATATTCAGAACTTTCAGATAGTGAAGAAATTATAGGCAAATATATATATTAATGCGAGAATACTTTTTAAAAAAGATACATGAAAAATTCATTTTTATCATTATTATTTTTCAGAATCGAACACATCATCAGATTCCAATGATTGTCTAATTGCTAATAATGAGCTTTCAAAAGATCGTTCAAAATCTGATTCCTCAATGAAAGAATATTCTGGACATCGACGTAAATATGGAAATGAAGGTTAGATAAGATTATTGATTAATATATATATTTATATGTGTGTGTGTGAATTGAATTAATGTTAGTTTTATTATTAATCTAAAGACCCAGGATCTGCATCTTGGACTAAACATAGTAAACACTTTTTTATATTGAGTAGTGCAGGAAAACCTGTTTATACACGGTACAATTTATTTATCCGATACAAATAAGTTTTTTTTAAAAATGATGATTAATGATAATTTATATATGTGTTAATAATGATGATAGATATGGAGATGAATCTCGCATATCGGGATATATGGGAATCATACAAACTGTAATTTCATTTTTTATTGATGCTGGGGATAATATAAGGTTTATTTTTATTCTTATCATAATTATTTGAAGATTTCCTATTTTCTCTTGTAGTATGTTAATTATTTAATTATTTTGATTCTTAAGGTGTATAAATGCAGGACAACATAAATTTGTATTTTTATTGAAAGGACCATTATATTTAGTTGCAGTTTCAAGGACTAATGAATCTGAATTACAGGTATTATTATTATAATTTAAATTTAAAATTAGAATGTTTTTTTTTGAAAATTTATTTATTTATCATCATTGTTTTTTTTTAAAAAAATAAAGCTTAGAGAACAATTGAATTATTTATATAATCAAATATTAAGCCAATTAACTTCAAAACAATTAACAAAAATTTTTGAACAGAGAACAAACTTTGATTTAAGAAAACTTCTTGGAGGTTAATTATTTATGTTTGTTTATATTTAGGGAATATATTATATTTTTATGCATACACATAAAAAGCTAATTATAAACGATGATAATAATGTTTTAGGAACTGAGCCTTTTTTTGACAATCTTGCAACATCTATGAATCATGAACTTGGATTTATGTTAGGATCAGTTCAATGTGTTAGAATGAGTAAAACATTACGTGATAAAATTGGTAGCATAATGCAATTTGCAAGATCTAAAGTATGTGTTTATATTTACATATTTTATATTTTTCTTGGATTCAACATCAATTACAATTATCAATTATTATCATCATCTTCTTCATTATTAGGATCTTTTATATGCCATGTTAATAACAGATAGTAAATTAATAACTTCGCTAGGACCTAGGAAGCATAACTTGCACCCTTCAGGTATGTTAAGTTAACAGTTTATGTAATATAATTATATTTTATTTTGCCACAAATAATTCAAATTAAACAAACTTTTTTCTAGATATTCATTTGATCTTTAACACTGTAAATGGATCATCGTCATTTAAATCATATGAATCATGGGCACCAATATGTCTTCCGGGGTTTAACAGTAAAGGATTCCTTTATGTATATCTGTGTTATATAGCAGTGAATACATGTTTAGTATTGATATCAACAGACAAAGAAAAATTTTATGAATTATCTGAAGCAAGAAATGTGATATTTGAGGTAATGTGTGACAATGATCATTATTATAATTGTTTTCCATTGTGTGCTCATAAAAGATTTCTTTGTTCTAGAAATTGGAATCAACTGGTTCATTAAAGGGAATTGAGGAAGCTTTACAAAACGATTCTTATTCTATTGGTAAGACGAAATTTAAAATTATAAGTTTACATTTTAAAACAGATCAACCTCTTATTATTATTTGTTTATTCTATAGATGATATTGGTGTTCCAGGTTTACGACATTTTATATATAAGTCAACAATTCATGTACAGTACACTTTGCCAACATTCGTTGCACCATATAATAATTCTAAGGAAAAACTTAGGTATATTTATATTTATATGCATATTAATTTTCATTTGGAAATAAATTCGTTCATTAATCAATCAAATCAATTATAATTTTTTTGTAATAAGGTTATTTAAATTGTATCGTCATGTACATGATCGTATACATTCTAAATTTAGACCACTCAAAGTATATTATTGTGTTAGTAATTCTGAAACCATACTAGGATGGGTGTGTATTACAACAATACTATTATTATTGTACTACAATACCAAAAAAATATATTCATTAATTAATGAGGACCTTTGAAAAATAATTTTTTAGATAACATCATCATTTGAACTTTATGCTTCATTCAGGCCACACATATCAAAAACTGCTTTAACCACTTCATCACATGCATTGCTGAAATGGATTAGAAAAGAAGAAGAAAATTTATTTATAATTAATTAATTAGTCAATCAATTGAGTGTATTTTAATAATAATATTTTTATTAGATTAATAATAATAATTTAATGATGTATTTATGTAGAATTTTTTTATTTATAAACAAAATATGAAATTATTCACACCTTTGATTGTATCACTACTAAAGAACTATCCTCTTAATTTAATTACTACTGTTATTATTATTAATATAATTTATTATTATCAAAGGAAATTTTCAAGTTTACAATTGTTTCAATGGTGTCAATAATTTATTTGTTATTGTATATATAATAAATAGCGAGGACAGTTGGTTTTAATGAGAGAGGTCACTATTGAGCTTAGAAATTATGATTTCGGGATTCAGTACCTCATACAGGATTAAACTGTTTCTTTTCTTTATTAGGAAATTTGATGGTTTAAATAGATGTAGTAGTGAAGTTAGTGTCGTTGTCCTGGACAATTCGATGAGTAAATTGATTTACAACGATATCAGCAGCTTTCCCAGAGGTCATTTCTCCCTTAAATACTTTATGTTCTAACTCATCTACTAGACTTTTTATAGATTGATTGGACCTTAGCCTGTATATATATATATATATATATATATAAGAAGAAGAAAATGTATATGTATGATTTTCAAATAAATTGTGTATAGTTGTATAAATAATATATTACATCTCATTTATACCTCTCCAAAATTTCTGATGTAATTTGACGCCACATCCACAGTTTTCTTTGTTCACCTCTTTTCTTTGCTAGTTCACTATAATCCTAATATTTAAAAATGATTGTTGAAAAAAGAACTCAACATGATAATGAAATATATATCTTTTTTAAAAACCTTCATTGAATTATAATACTCCTGCATGACGTTCCAAGTATTTTCGATTCCATCATTAGTCTTTGAAGATACGCTTGTGACCTAGGTAAAAAATGATTTAATTTATCAAATGAAATAAAATATAATATATTCATTCATTTACTTTGGGTCTCCAGACAGGTGTGCTTGGTCGAAGATATTTTAATGCGCTAGTATATTCAACAACTGCTTCTCTAGCAGACTGTGCCAAAATTCCATCGGCTTTATTTACGATAACTAAATCAGATACTTCAACGATCCCTTTTTTCAAACCCTTAAAAAAAAATTTTGGTTTATAATAATATGAGGGATGTCATGTAAACCTTCAATAATCCCTTACTTGTATTTCATCACCACCTGCAGGCGGCACCATCAACACAAACCTTTTAATATTGATAATTGAATAATTAAAAATATGAGTTAATACACATGTATGTAAAATCATCTTTTATTTCTACACTATTTAGAATAACTTACATATCAACCATTTCGGATACTATTGTTTCTGATTGACCAACACCAACAGTTTCAATAATGCATATATCATAACCCGCAGCTAAAGATATTAAAAATAATAGTTAATTTTTTTTTATATTTCATTATTCTTCTAATTAAATCGTGTTTTGTGCAATCACCTTCACATAAAATCATGGCTTCACTCGTATTACGTGCCACCTATTCATAAACAATAAGATCATGTACATGTATATTTTGATAATTTCAAAAGTTCAAAACCATTACTACTACTTACACCACCTATATATATAAATTACAAATTTACGCGAGTTAAATAAATATTAGATCAAAAATTAAAATAATAATAACAACATACCAAGCGTGCCACGACTTGGTGATGGACGGACATAAGCATCATTATTATATGACAATTCGGGCATTCTTGTCTTATCACCTAAAATTGACCCACCTGTACGAGACGATGATGGATCAACAGCCTATATATCATAATAGTAAGAATTTTGATTGACCAAATTCATAAAAACAAAAACTCTTTTTACCAAAACAGCTATTCGATGTCCTTTTGCGACCAAAAAAGTTCCAAATTTTTCAATAAAAGTTGATTTTCCAACACCGGGTGGACCAGTAATGCCAATTCTAAATGTTTTTATCTCCCCAGTTGAATTCTTTGTATTCTTCTGTGAATCAATAATCATAGAAAGCAATTGTTGTGATTGGCTTTTATGATCTTTGCGTGCAGATTCCACTTAAATAGGCAGAAATATCAAGTTAGGGAAAGTTGAAGATATAATCATGAGGTCAATTATGACCAACCTAATGTTATTGCCTTTGCCAAATAATATCTATCATGATTCCTAATTCCCTCGTAAATATCATTGACTTTGGAAAGATTATGGTGTGTTGCATAAAGTGCTTTTTGGTGAAATTTTTTTAAGCTGTAACTTCTAAGTAACGGTGTTTTATTAAGTTGAAAAACTTGACAGAAGTTCCTTAACACCATCTAAATTAATGAATAAAATTGTTGTACGTGAAAATGAAATTATGTGAATTCGCAATTCACATATGTGAAATTCAAATTTACATATGTGAAATTCAAATTAACCAATCAGAATTTCACCCCACTCCATAATATTTCAATTTCACATACAACAATTATTAAATATAAAAGAAATTTTTTAAATCCGTAAATGAGCGAGTAGCACAAAATTTTTGTTGATTTTACATAATAATAATAATATTAATATGAACGCAAGTGTTTGGACTTCTGTTCTAAGGTGCTTTATTTTATCAAGTACACTTGCTCTAAAAATGATTTTAAATTTTCACAAATTTGGTTAATAATCGGAAACGCTTATATATTACATATAACATTAATATATATATATATATATATATATATATTGCTTTTTTTCAAGAATTTTATTTTGTTTATCAAGTTAACTTTTCAAGTTTAATCATTTCAACAATATTATTAGTATGATTTGTTTTAACTATAACATTCTCATCATCGATATCATCCTCATCCTCAATAACTTCGTCAATCTCTTGATCTTTAAGAAGTTTTTGACCACTTTCTAAATCATTTTCATTGGTTTTATTTTGTTGATTTTGGCTTGATTCGTAATTTTTTGTCCAAGTGTATAAACAACTTCCTACAAGAATTATACCAATACTACCAACACGACCAATTGTAAGAATATCATGAAATATTGCTACACCAAGAACAGTTTGAATTACACCACGAAAAGCTGACGATATCATATGTGATATTGGTGATGTCACTTTGATTTGTAGAAATCCTGCAATGTTGATTAAAAATCCAAAGAATCCCTAAAAAAATTGTTGTAAGTATCTAATATTTCAATAATCCGTTAAAAAATATATATATATATCTTCTCAATCCCTAAATACCGTTACTACAATTCCAATTAAGAAGGTTGGTAAAGGTGAAGACGATTGTTTAAGGTCAGGGTCAGAAATATCGGAAAACATTTGAGCCAATTGATATTCTTCTCCAGTTAATAAGATCAAAGGAATAAAACAAACAGAACTTAATAAATTATTATAATAAACCAAGTCCATTGTGTTCTCTTTTACAACAGCCAAGCTTTTCTTAATTACAATTGCATGTAATGCTGTTGTGATGGATGAAAAAACTCCATAAAAAACTCCGAGAAATGAAATCGTAAGTTTTTCTGATGATACTCCAACAAAAAATCCAGTGCAAACAATAAAACATGATAAAAGGATCAAGAATGATGATCTTTTTTTAAGGAAAACAAGGGTGAATAAAACTGTAAATGGAAGAACCAAGGCACGTGCGACCTATATTAAAATTGGATTAATAACTAAATTTATTTCAAATTTTTGAAAAAAAAAAAAAGATTAATAATATTTACTTGATAAAAACTTGCGTCAACATATTGTAGACAAACAGTATTAAAACTTAATCCCAATACATTTATTCCGATTAGTGGAAATACTCCAACACATATATCTTTTTGAAGTTTTGGTAATTTTACTATACCAAAAAGACTAGAAATGTGTAAAAGTATTATTGCCATAATAAGCTGTGAGAAGAGCAAAGTAAAGGGAAGTGCTGCACTGTTTAAAACCCACTATAGAACACCAAAATAGCATTATTTAATAATTTGTTAATTGACATTTATTAATTATTGCAGTTGTTCTCGTCATGAATTACCTTATTAACAAGAACCATAACAAGTGCAGTTGTAATATAAAACGAGACAGAAAAAATGACCAAGGAACGACTAGCTTTTTTTGGTTTTTCGCTCATTTTTGATTCAATTACTATTAATTACTATTACTATTATTTGTCTATATACTTTGTCTATATACTTTGTCTATAATTTATGAAAAAAAAAATTATTTTTAAATTTTGGGAAAGAGTGTGCCTTACTTGGTTAATTATCAATAATAATAAGGATAAATGATTACGGTAAGTGTTAAGTAGTAAAAAGGAAATTTGCACCAAATGGGATTTCTGTCATTATTATCTAGCTGCATCGCATTAGGAAGTTACTACCGCAGCTGGGTCTATTTCACTAACAAACAATTTCGAATTATTTGATAAAATTTTTTTTTTATTACTATTTTTACTACTATATGATTGATTGAATACATTCTGAAAATGGATTTTGTGTTAATGAAAACTGGTTTTTGGTATATATATGTGAGGCGTATTCCCAAAATGAAAAACATTGCCTTTTTTGGGTATTTTAAAGGGTTTGTGTAATGTTGTTCAAAAACCGTCAAACCGGTTCCTTAATGGAAAATCAAAATTAAAATCGAAATTAAAAATCGAAACTAAAATTCATATATTTATCACTATTTATTTTGAATGCTTGGAAACACTTCTCATCTAACTTCTGAATTACCTCATCATTTTTCGAGTTACTTTGGTATTATATTAAACAGAACTTAAGCTTTCTATTAATGTGTTTTATAAGCCAAAATAATTTTTGGTGGTCAGAAAAGGGGTTAAAGTCAGATGATCAAATCAGAAATTTTAGATTTATCTATACTTTGTCGATCAGCCAATCAAATTTAAGCCCACTATGTTTAAGATAACCAATCATAGTAATAGTCATGATCATATAAAGTCACATGTTTAGTATAAAAAATTGTCAGATTCCACAAAAAAATTGATTAAATAATTTTAATGAAAATATGACCGATATAGCTTCTAAATTATCAGGAATTAAACATATTATACTCGTTTTATCCGGAAAAGGTGGTGTAGGAAAAAGTTCAGTGACAACACAATTGGCTTTATGTTTGGTTCAAAATGGTGGTCATAAAGTTGGTATTCTTGACATTGATCTTACAGGACCCAGTATGCCACATATGTTAGGTTTAGATGACAAACAGGTTCATCAAGCTTCTAATGGGTAAGTGAGAGTGAGAGTTTATCATTATTATTAAAAGGCCATTAATTATTTTTGTTTTTCAAAGATGGGTTCCTGTTTATGCAGACGAAAATCAAAAATTATGTTGCATGTCAATTGGATTCTTATTACAAAATAAGAATGATTCTATTGTTTGGCGTGGCCCAAAAAAAAATGGTTAATAATGATAAGATTATATTTAATTGATCGATTTTACATTCAATAAAATTTTTCCTTGCACTTTTTTTATCTTCCTAATTTTTTATAATTTTTTTTTGTAGCCATGATCAAACAATTTTTGTCAGATGTGACTTGGGGTAATTTGGATTATCTTATTATTGATACACCACCTGGTGAGAATTAAAATATTTCAAAGTATGTGATATACAAACGATTTGATTTAAAATAAAAGAAAAAAATTATTAAACCTTTTCCTTTAGGAACCTCTGATGAACATATATCAATTGTTGAATACTTAAAAGATGTTAATCCTGATGGTGCAGTCATAGTTACTACCCCGCAGGTTATTCATTATTAAAAGAGTGTGTTTAAATGTTGTTATTTATATTAATAAGTTTTCATATTTATATTCTTATTTAGAATGTTTCATTGACTGATGTTCGTAAAGAATTGAATTTTTGTAAAAAAGTAAAGCTTCCTATATTAGGCGTTATTGAAAATATGAGTGGATTTGTATGTCCACATTGTGAGGTTGGTTATTATTATTTTTTTCTTTTAAATCATTTGTTTTTATAATTTTGTTTTTACTTTAAAATCACTAATCATACAACAATGATATTTTAAAAAGGAATGTACAAATTTATTTTCAACTGGTGGTGGTGAATCTTTAGCTCAAGAATTCGATGTAGAATTTTTGGGTGAGATTTTTTTTTACTTGATATTTATTTATTTTTCATAACCAGAAATATTGACAGTTCCATAACTACAAATATAGGTCGAGTGCCTATTGATCCAAGTTTAACATTAATGGTTGAAAATAGTTATAATGATAATATTGAAAATGGTTTGATTAAAGAATATCCAAGTTCAAATTTATTTAAAGTTTTTATTAATATTACTAATAAATTAGTTGAAAAAGTTACAAATTAAAAAAATACAAAAAATTTTTTTTTCCTCCGCTATTAGCTAATAGTAATATATATATATATATATATTATTATTATTATTTATTATTAAAAAGAAAATATATAAATCATCTAATTCGATATCTATTGGTTGACATCATAATCATTATATTCATCATTTGATAATGTATTTCTTTATTGGTGATAATATGTAAAATTTTAAATATCAAATTATCAATCTTAAAAATAATTCAATCCAATATTTTTCATCTAGAAATACTGGATTATATCATCATCGTCTTCAAAATCTTCAGAATCGTTGTCATCTTCTTTAAAATTATTGTCTTTAAAATCGTCTTCTTCAGAATCATCATCGTCTTCAGAATCATCGTCTTCAAAATCTTCAGAATTGTCGTCTCCTTCAGAATCGTTCCCTCATTTTCTTAATAGCATTGATTCTGAAAGATATACATATCCAAGGATCGCCAAGGATTAATGAAAGTTCATATGGTAATTTCCTACTATTAAATAGATCATCCTTTTCATCGATCCAACTAGAAATTAAAAACTTTTTCCAGTTCTTGGGCCTTTTTGAGGCAACAATTTTGGTTCCATTTGTGTGTATATATATATATACACGCCTGAGATTTGGCCTTTCTTTTCCTGGAAGGCTAATTACCTAACCAATCATTTGTAGGGCTTTTTCTTTTTGACGTTTTAAAATAATCATGTAAACTAGTTGTGAATTTAATAATGTGTATCGTGATATTCTAACTAGAGTGGTGACAAGCACCATTCTTATGATAAACACTTACCCTTTAGCAGTACCAAAGATATCTTCTCTTCTTCTTTTTCCCTTTACGCATTTTTAATTTTAAAATGTTTATTTATTATTGGAACTTGATGTTGTACAAAGAATTTTTTTTGGGGGCAGACGCGATTGTTTTTGTTTTTTTTTTGGGAAAAACAATTTATTTTTGACAGATGACAAACGTGAATCTCCTAAAGAAGAAGTGTTAATAACTAACCAAATATACTATTTTTTATTTGTATTGATATACACAGTGAGTCTCGGTATAGCGGACCTCGGTATAGCGGATGTCTAATAAAACTCTCGGTTTAACGGATCAAAGCTCAGAACCGTCTATAAGTAAATTCTCTCGGTTTAACGGATTTACTAATTAAATCTTGAATTAATCTCGGTATAACGGATTTTTGAAATTTTTGTTTCTAATTGCCCAAATTATCCGCTATACCGAGACTCACTGTGTAATGTGGTGTCCTTTAGTTTATAAATATTTTAATTGGAATCAAAACGCGGAGCAGATCTTGCTGGGTAATTATAAGATCCTTATCAAGCAAGATAACGAACGATTGGTATTTGCCTTTTGGAATCATTAATAATAAATAATAATATTACTATAATTAATTACAATAATTAATCACAAGATGTCAAGGCAGCATGACTGTCATATTTCGATATGCGATGTTTGATAATCGGCAATTATTAGCAGGCGTTGAAGCAAGCACGCTATCTTGAACATTACAGCCATTCTCACACATTCCTCGTGCACACAAGGCTACTCTGACTCGCGCCTGATGATGCAATGATGCAAATGAATTCCAGGGAGTGTAGCCGAATGATATTCACCGATAATTGGTGAATAATCGGCGGTACAGAAATATAATAATAATAATAAAAAATAAAATTTTTTATCCGCGTAATTGAAAGAATACATTAACATGTTAATACTATTTTATCCACTATTACACTATCACTAACATTCTTTCTATTATAATAATATATCCGAATATCAACTGTGACATTATTATTTAAAGAATATTTATGCATTACAGTAACTTTTGCTCCAAATGAGCGACCTTGTCACAGCACAGACTACGTATAATTAAATTCTTGTCGTGTTAATTTTTTGGAAGTTTGATACCACCAAGATTTTACATGAATCCCATAATGTAATTCAGAGTCTAGATAGTAATAATTGCACTGATGAAGCATCAATATCGTTATTGCAAGAAATTAAAGATGTATTGGATTTTTTAAAATTTATTATTTAAAAAAATATAAAAATTTTTTTGATAATCAACATGCAAATCAAATTGGTTTTCTTTTAAAAAAAATTTTTAAATGTTTCGAAATTCTTTGAGAGTAACTTTAATTTTTAGTAATATAAAACAAAGGACCAATAGTGCCATTTGTAAGCGAGTTTATATATTTATATACTCTTCAAATTATTTTCTTCTTTATACATATATATATATTCTTTTTTTGAAACATAAAAAGAATATTTTCTTTATAAACAAATTTTTTAATTATAGCATTTAGCAAGCCTTTTTGTACGATCGTCAATCAAAAGGATGAAGATAATAAAGGGTTGTTAGCAATAAAAAAAATTCTTAAAAATAAATCATATACATGTAAATTTCCTGGAATTGCAAGAAATTTTTAATTAACATTTGCATATATTTATAATGATTATATATATATATATATATAGCCCAACAGGAATTGTTTTAATGAACCTTGGTGGTCCCAAAACTTTGGATGGGGTTGAAGATTTTCTTACACGACTTTTTTCAGATCCTGATATTATTCCCATACCATTTCAAAAACATCTGGCGCCAATAATAGCCAGACGAAGAACACCGAAAATTCAAAGTCATTATTCAAAAATTGGTGGAGGATCACCAATATTATCATGGACACAGAAACAAGCTGATGGATTAGTAAAATTGTTGGATAAGACAAACCCTGAAACAGGTTTGTAAAGATTATGTTACAAAGTTATTGGTTAAATTATTATGATATTTGAAATATTTATTATATATTTATATGTATATATACTTATACTTATATATAGCACCACATAAACCTTATATTGCATTTAGATATGCACCACCTTTAACAGAGGATACAATCACACAAATGAAGAAAGATGGTGTGCGCCGAGCTGTTGCATTTACCCAATACCCACAATACTCATGTTCAACTACAGGAAGCAGTTTAAACGAATTATATCGTAAGCTTCTAAAACACGACACTGAAGGATCAATCAAATGGAGTTTGATTGATCGTTGGCCAACACATCCTGGTTTAATTAATGTATGATTGTAATTATAATTATAATTGAACAATTGGTTAATTATTATTTTGATTGCATGATTTTACTCTTTATTTCTAAATATTTTTAATTAATAAAATTTATTCACAAACTTATTTATTTATTAAAGGTATTTGCACATCATATAGAAGAATCACTTAAACAATATCCTCCTGAGACACGAAATAAAGTTATTTTATTATTTTCAGCACATTCTTTACCAATGGTAGTTGTGAATCGTGGTGATACTTATGTAAATGAAGTGGCAGCCACTGTTCATCATGTAATGGAACGTTTAAATTTTTCAAATCCATACAGACTTGTGTGGCAATCTCAAGTTGGGCCTCAACCTTGGATGGGGCCTAAAACTGATGAAGTCATATTTGGTTATGGAAAAAAAGGAATTAAAGACATCCTGCTTGTACCAATTGCATTCACATCTGATCATATTGAAACACTTTACGAATTAGATATAGAATATGGTCACGAAGCTCAAAAGGTATTCTATTCTTTTATATATATATATATATATATATTATAATAATAATAATAATAATAATAATAATAATAATAATAATAATAATAATAATAATAATAATAATAAATTTTAATGATAATATGGTAGGCTGGAATTTCAGGAATAAAACGTATAGAATCGTTAAATGACGATCCGATGTTTATTGAAGCAATGGCAAATATTGTAAAAGATCATTTGAATTCAAACAAGTCAATGTCTACACAATTAACAATCAGGTGTCCAAAATGTAAAAAAGATATTTGTCAGGAAACCAGAGATTTTTTTACAAATCAATAATGTAACACATGTGTCTTTTGAGTTTTACAGTTTTACAAAAATAATTAATTAATGGCTTAATATAAAATTAGCCTATATTTAAAAATTCACCTTTTATTTATATCTCTAATTAAAATTATGCAAGTTGTAAAAAAGTTATACAATCAATATACAAAAAGTTGTGCAAATGTTATTACAAGTGTTATTTAAAAGTCGTATAAGCGATATATAAAATATATAAAGCTATAAAAATCATAATAAAAAGTCACATAAAAAATATCTCCTATGAACAAATAGACTTTGCTTTAACTATGTATCGTGATGAAAGCACAGGTATTATATTTTTTTTAGATAAAAATACCATTCGATTAGATTCAGCTAATTGTGAACTAACCAATGGCTGGCTATGCTCATATGGTTTTTGGCGTGCTATAAATTAAGATGTGAAACAAATATATAAATAAATAAATAAATAAATAAATATGTGTGTGTTTGTGTTTGTGTGTGTTATTTAGATTAATGAATAATGATGAAAGAGTAAAATTATAAAGATCATCTATTTAACCTTTATGTTCAGTCCACTTGTCACGATCTCTACGCGACATTCTTTTGAATTCAATTACACCACCTTGTGGCGTAGAAACCACCCTCGATTTACTTCCAAAAGAAACCATTTCTCGATTCTTTGGAAGCTCTGTCCACAAAGTGCGTTTTAACCAGGAGGGTTGTTTTTGTGAAGACCTTCTTACTTTACGATGACGTCTTTCGTGAAGCTTCGCGTTATAGTTTATTGTAATATCATCTCTACTTAGCAATCTGCGATGAATATGGTGGCCATTACTTTTTTTAAAAAAAAACAATCAAGTTTTAATTACGCAATCATCAAAAATAGTTGAAAAAAAAAAATTTTAAATGTATAATTATAATAATAAAGATTACCTGTCATTATCATCACTATTATCATTATTACTAGGAATCATTTTTCTTATAATGAAGTAAATATAAAGAATAAAAAACGATAAGATTTCTGAATTAATTGATTAATGGAAAGTTTATGGATTATTTGTAAATTGTTAAATTATTTGTTGAAAATTTTAAATTTTATTTATTTTATTTAAAGAGAGATAGATAGATATAAGGGGTAGAATTTATATATATCTATCTATGTGTTGAGGTTTAAATTCAAATTTACGTGATTCGCGTATGCGTTCTATTTACATATAATAATAATAATAATAACAAGTCAAAAAAACTATTATTAGTATAGATTATGATCATGCATGGTAATGACGGATAATGAATTCCCACTCTTCCTTCCTTATCTTTTTCTCAATGTGGTGAGAAATGTGTGTTTGAAGATGATACCTCTATCTATGGTACATAAAAACGTTTCGTGTGACAATAGAAAATACCCTGTTAAGAGCTTGTGACGCAGAAGTTGTTACTAAAAAACCTTATTTTAATTGGGTAGTAGTAGCTAATAGAAATTCACGTGACGAACAGATCGATTCATACTAAAAATGCAATTTTTGAGGAAGGGGTCTTTAAAATTTTTGAAGAATTTGCAAGGTATTTAAAGAAAATTTAGCCAAAAAAAAAAAAAAAGAAAATGCATTAATTATTGGCAATAAGTCTAAAATATAGGCATACATTTTTATTACCCTGCCTGCCTATCAAATAGAAAATATTCTAATTAATAATAATAATATTTTTAAATCCATTTTTATATTATCCAAAAAAACCATATTATAGAAAAATTAATCCAAAAAAGTTACTATTATTATTATTATTATTATTATTAAAAAGTCTTAAATCTTAATAAAAAATATCTCTAAAAATATAAAACAAAAAATGTCTTTCAAAATCAAACCTTCATAAATTAAAATCTATTAAAATTTATTTTTGTATAATTACGAAAAGAACCGTTACAACCAAAATTCCAGATAAAACAGCAATTGGGAGATATGGTTTGTTTTGTTCAGCTCTTGTCATTGGATTATTTCCATCACATACAGCACATTTATATTCTATCAGACATAAAAAAATTTTTTTAAATGTGGATTAAAAAATAATTCAAATAAAAATTAATAAATAAAAAAGATCTTTTACCATTTAAATCAGTGCGTGGTTTTGGTTGATACATCATAAAACGTAAATCAAAATAAGGTTGTAATTGGCCACCTACTACAGAAGATGGTTGTGGACCTCTCTCATCCCATATATACAAAGTGTAAGTTCCAACTGGTAATTCTGGATTTTTAACTTTGGAAGTGTCCCATACAAAAGAGGTTGTATCAGGCGGAAGATTCACTGCAACGGTGAAGTTATAACCTTTTTGATCGTTGTATTTGGCAAACATATTAAGGTTTTTTGGTGCAACAGCCGCATCAAATTGTGATGAATATGTCCAATTGAATGTTTGTACTTTTCCTATTTTAAATAGCAAGTTGCTACTAACGGGTGGACTAACCATTTTTATTCTTACTGGTTGATTATCGGCAGTTGGCAAAGTTGAAGTAGGAGTAGGAGTAGGGGTAGTTTCAGGGGCTTTGGGATCCACCGGTGGTGCTTGCTTGGGATCCACTGGTGGTGCTTGCTTGGGATCCACTGGTGGTGCTTGCTTGGGATCCACTGGTGGTGCTTGCTTGGGATCTACCGGTGGTGCTTGCTTGGGATCCACCGGTGGTGCTTGCTTGGGATCTACCGGTGGTGCTTGCTTGGGATCTACCGGTGGTGCTTGCTTGGGATTGGGATCTTGCGGTACTAAAGTAATTATACATGTTAATAGATGGGATAAATAATAGATACAAATGTTATCAAAATAATTACCTCTTTTACGTAATTCTTGCTCTATTGTAAGTTGAAACAATAAACATAATATAAATAAAATGATTAAAGGCTTTGACGTTTTCATTTTTTTCTATTTTCTTTTTCTTTTTCTCTATTATATATAATTATTATTATACAAGTTTCATTTAAAATTTAATAATAATAATAATAATAATAATAATAATAATTAATATTATTTATTAAAAAAAAAACTAATAATTCAAAAAATATTTTAGAGAAAAGAGAGGGAAAAACAAAGAGCCCCCGTAAAACAGAATTTAATCATTAAAAAAGTTTGTTTTTTGGTTATAAATAGAAGTATGCATAAAAAACTTTAGTTAATGCAGTTTGTACTACTGTTTTAAACTCTTCTTCCTCCACTAAAGATGTCCTCGATGTTTCGAGCAGCAACAAACATTTGAATTCAATTTTTATTTATTAATTCGTGAAACATTTCAGCTTTTAATTTTTTTTTTAATTATTTTAATTTAAACGAAAGAATGCAACTCAACTAAATCAGTGCAACATACTATCTCTCTTTGGAAATTTCGAAAATTTTCGTTTCACAAAATTTATTGCGTTGTATAAACCTTTTGATCATTGACCCATGATCATGATCATGATCACTATCCCATTTTTTTTAAAAACGTTCAAAAAAACAAATCAATTGATCAAAATCAAGCCTTTTCCAAAAATGTGAAGAAATATTTTCCGTGCCACCAAAAATTTAAAAAAAAATCAATTAAGCTTTTTTTGAAAAGATTCTTTCCTACTACTACTAAAAATACCAATAAGAAATTAATCCATTGTTATTCTAGTATTAGCATTACCGTCAGAAAAACAACGATTTGGAATTAATTCATTATTATTAATAGGAAAATCAATCGAGTTTTTTTTTGAAAGATTTTTGCCTTTTTGGAACAATTCGGAATTGATTTTTATTTATATTAATATTATTTCTAATTATGATTAAAATCTTGTATCATTTAATAAATTTATCTAACAGTTTTAATAATTATTTCCTGAGTTAGGAATGTTATTTTTCTACTGACTGAAAGAAAATACATTATTTTTACTGAACTTTTGTTCTGCAATTAAAGAAACAAAATTGCTCATTCTCAAACCATTATATGAAGAAGAAAATAATAAAATTTGGTCTCCCAATCAACAACAATTTAAAACCATGGTGATGTTAGAAATGTTTATTAACTGTTCGTAAGCTAATAATAATACAAAATAATATTAATATAATAAAAAAATTGCCAGAATTATTACAGATCTGAACAATAGAAAACCAACAATACAAACATAAATAGATACTCCCATCTAGACTATTTAATTATTTGCCTTGAATATCTTTAGGATTATAATTTGGTATATTGGTATATAAAAATATATGTATATATTAACACATCTCTTTGTAAGGAAATACGTATATATATATAAGAATTAATTAGGTTTTTTTAATATTCTATTTTCATATATAGTACATATATTAGATTTATAATTTGCAAAAAAAAATTTTTTATAGAATGATTTTTTTTAATCATATCATGCTTTTACATATATTATATGAATAAAAATAATGATATGAAATAATGATATGAACGTAAGGCTTTGAACAAATCGAATATCGAGTTGGATTCAAAAAAAAACTGGATTCGATTCAATTCAATTCGTTCTGTGATTTGATTCGATTCAAAACAGATTCCTAATTTTTTTCGACAAAGAATTTATATTATTTTTAATTTAAATTCTTAATTGATAAACATATAAAAAGTTTCATCTAAAATTTGTTATACCAGAATTACTAGTCGCGTTTCAATGAATTTTATATGTAACGTGACTTTAATAATTTGTTGAACAAACGAGAGTTTATTTATTGTATTGTTAATATTAATAAGGATAACAAATAAAAAGTAATTCATTGCAAATAATAAATATGATGAATGACGGTAACTCAAGGTTGGCCGTGGGACCGGTCCATTGATGGTCATTGGGTATAATATAACCATATTTAGTATTTTATTAATGGGCCATACCACAACTCATTGGTCTCAATGTACCCAGTATATTGTCAACCCTATGATAATTGAATTGTCGAGAATGATGCCCCTTCAATAACTTCTTCAACACGCACAGTGAAATGTGCTCAAAGAAGGACAAGAAACGAAGTGTGGAACCATTTCACAGTTGTAGATGTGTAATTATTGCACATGTAAATGTTTTTTGACTTTTATTTCCAAAAGAAACTTTTTTAAAATTATACAGAATTCAAATTATTTCATATGGTATATATTTTAAATAAATTGTTTATATGTTTGAATTTCATTGATTCGCTTGGAGCCTTATATGAATGTCAATTTAACTGGGGAGGGTGTGATCTCTCGGCTTGTATTAAGCCCACTTTTCTTCATGAATTAATTTTTATTAATTACCTCAACTAAATAATATGCTAGTTGGTAATCTTGCTAATAAATACAAGTCAATTAATTAAAGTAATAAATCATTATCAGCACACATTACAAAAGAATCTACTCAATCCACCGACAAATGCACAGTTACACCAACAAGACGTTATGCTGACAGGACGTTTTCTAATTCATTATATCAGTTTAGGATTAATTACCCAAAAACGTACATAATAACTATACATAAAGTTTATATAATTTTATAGCTTAAATATTCATGTAAAATTTTGTTTTTTCAGTTATTTTAATAAATAAAAAAAATACGAACTTCAATTGAAAATTTTTTGAACAAAAAATTTTTATCAAAGTGCTCAAAAACCCACATAATTATTATACGTAAATTTATATTATATTAAACCCTTAAATTCAGAGAGTATCTATGGAAAACATCACATTTCTATTATATTTAGTAGTTCGTTTCGATTATATTCAGATTTTAGAAAAGAACTTGTTAGAGGAGAGGTTATTTTTTTCATGATGATAATGCACTAGCTCACACAGCCAATGATATTCAAATTTGGATTCATTAAAAGAATGGCCGTTTCAATCACCTGATCTTACATCTCTGGAGTGAGCCGGAAAGGAGATTAAAAAATCGAAAAAATCATCCAAAAAAAGCAAGTGAACTGGAAATTGCATTGAAAAAAGAATGGCAGCAAATTACTTACGAAAAATTACATGCACTCATTGGAAGCATGCCAAAAAGAATTGAAGCATGCATTTCTAATGAAGGATGGGCCAACTGAATATTTTTTGACGATCAAAATGAAAAAAAAATATTTGGTTGAAATTTGTATTTTTTTTTATACATAAACTGAAAAAATAAAATTTTACATGAATATTTTTCAAAACCTAAGCTATAAAAAAATGATATAAATTTTATGTGTGGATATTATGTATGTTTTTGGGTAATTAATGTAAATAGATGTCCAAATACTTTTTTTTTCCCGGCAGTGTATCACGACATGTATCTGAGATGTTAGCTGATTAGCCGGCTAATCTATTTAAGTCGGTTAAGTTATTTATTAGCCGGCTAAGCCGTTTAAAAATTCCTTGGCTGGCCGTCATCATTAGTTTTGTTATAAATGCAGAGCTTTCAAACATAAATTTATTCAAAGATAAGTTATGAAAGGGGTCAGAAAATTCGTGATTTAAAGCTAACCTGTCCCCTTGTGATTCTAATTTAACATATGATTTATAATGCCTCATCCACCATTTTTTTTTTTTTGAAATAAATAAATCCTTTTACCTTACGACATTGAATTTTTTTTTTTTTGTTTTAATATATTAGAAGTTTTGTATGATAGGCTTACTTGACTTTTATCAGAAATGATGTAACAAAACAAATCCAAACTTGATCACCAACTCACTCATAAAAAATCAAATTTGCAAATAACTTTCCAATGATATTTGACAAAAGGATTCGGATTTTTCCATTCTGGAGAGAAAAAGAAATTCACATTTTCTCTTCTTTCAAAATGTTCTCATAAAAGCAAGAATATTTCCATTGACACAGATGCCTTACATTCACTTATGGAACTAATATGATTATGTCACTAGTGATATGTTTTTTCGGTTGCTAAAAATTTGACCTCATTTGTGTCATCATATTGCATACACAGATTATAACATTCCAAAGGAAATCTTTGAAAACAACAACAACAACAACAACAACAACAACAACAACAACAAAAACGACTTTAATAGTAATTGACAAAAATATTTGTGATATGAGGTTTAAGAACTATTCATCATCATCGCTACCTTTATGCAATAGTAGTTTTGTTATTTGTCATCCATTCGCCTTCTTTTGCTCGCCTTCTTTATCTTATACATCTATAATCATCATTCCTATCGAGATAATTCTTGTTTTTCTGCTAATTGCTACTCGACAAAATCAAAAGTGACAAATTTTTATCGTTCAAATTCTTCTTCTATAAGTTTTTTCTTCTTCAGTAAATTTTTTACGTCCTATACCCAAATCATTTATCATAATCAAAGCAATCACGCTTGTCTGAATCATATCCACTAATTTCTTTTAATTATATTCATCAAAGATGTCATAAATGTATTTTTTTTTTTTTAGAAAGTAGTAATGAAAGTGATGTTGTTGGTGATGATAGAGTTGGTAGTGTTAGCAGCAAGCAATAATAGTAATAGTTTATCTATCATCATTGCCATAATTCTGTTCCATCGACAAATAAATACTACAGTTTCGATAAATTATAAATTACGAAAAAACGTGTTTGATTCAGCCCATGCGGACAATTTCAGTTCGTAGGGATAGAGCCTGGGAAAAACATATAAGAGGGATATCTCCCCTTATCAATCTTATTATTATCGATCTTTGATATCGGTCGGATAATTCACTCAAGATCTACGGACCAGGTGATCAGAAATATATCCGTGCATTCATATTTATCCTAGCCAGGCTAAAAGGTCAGACCTACCCGGAAATCGTCCGCATATGGTGGTTTGATTATATTAATTTCCTAAAAAAGAATTAAACAATTACCTGTTTCATACTTGTTCCATGATTGTGTTATTACGCGCAGTAATGATAAAAGAATGTTGGCATGTCAGAAATCATTAAAATAACAATTTATCAGATACCTTTTTTATCTAAATATTTATTTTCCATATTTTCTCTCTTGTAAAGGAATTCACAACTCCCTCGTACACTAAATGCATGCATGCATGCACAAGCACAAAATGTCGTCTTCTTTCGCTATAGCTTTGTATTTGTTATACAAGAAACGCAATATTTTAAAAAAATTTGTTGAAAAATCAAGTATACAAATGATAATTGAAAGATAACGAGCGGGCGGGTAGGATGATAGTGAGTGGATGTATGAGTAAAGAAAAAGATAAACAAATCGTTACAAAAAAAAAAAAAAACAAACAAAACCAGGTAAATTAAAAAAATTAAAAATTTAATTCTAATTTGCTATTTGATTTCGATCAGAAAAAAAAAATTTAATTACATTTGTTGTGTGTACAAATTCAGCCCAATTTATTATTATTTATTAAAATTAAATAGATAATATCGTTTTTCTAAAATGAATTTAGAAAATTTAGGAAAAAAAATTTTATTTTTCCTATTCTGATATAAAAAAAAACTTAAACTGATCTTCTTTGAGGCGATACGATGAGATAAACTTTTCACAATATTTTTTTGAAAATGAAGATAAACATCGATATCACACAGATATATATTTAAGTTTGATGGGTATTTTCCATTCGTTCATTCTGTCCTACATCTTTAAGAGATATTTACTCAAGTGAGGAGATAAAATGACAACTTTTATTAATTGATTAACGTTTATTTATTAATAAAAAATCTTTATTATGCTCAGGAGCACAGGCGTTTTTAACGATAAAATGAACTTTTAGAAATCTTGAACATGGTGAATAAACGAAAAAATGTTATTGAAAAATCAAATTGACGTCAGATACCAATAAATGTGGTTGTTTAGTATGCAATATAAATACAAAAGCTCCCCCCCCCTACTTTTACTTACGCATATACAGAGAGAGCGTATGGTTCCACTGGTTGAACAGCTAATAACAAATAATTCCGAACAACAATTACATCATTTTATTCCAATATAGCAGTATTAATAATGGTAATTTTAAATAAGAAAAAATACCTTATTATTAAAATTAATTTGTTTTTACCCCACATATACACAAAATAACCAAAAAATAATAAATGTATGATATTCCCGTGACATTAAATAAAATTAAATACCTGTTTAAATAATAACGATAATAATTACGTACGAGTGTTGGATTGGCCGTGAATATAACTATTGATAGCGGTGTTAGATAGATGGATGGATGATGATGGTAATAAATATATATTTATTTAATATATAAAAGGATTACAAATATCTGCAGCAAAAAAAAACCCTAATACTAAGTAATAAAAAGAATGAAATGACTGGAATGGGTAAATAAAAAATCAAGAGTTAATTGTCTTAATGATGTAATATTGTCTACTATTTATGAAAAACTAATAAAGCTAACCGATTTCAAAATCAATTCAAACTAACCCAAGCTAATCAACATCTTTCTATCTGTGATGTTTTAGATAGAAATGTGATTTGTGATAAATGTTGTATGTGATTTCTAGATTTATGTGTGAAATAAAATCTGTGAAATAAAAATAGCATAAATGAAAACTTTATATTTTGTTGATTACATATTTATGGTTTTTTGCGCGTAAAAAGAATAAATCGAATTGATAGAGAAGCAAGAGAAGATGTAAAGAAAGATAATGTATGTAAGTGATAGAATGAAGTGAGAATAATAGTAAATGATAATACTAGTATTTAATATTAAAAAACATAGAATAGATTACTAGATAATTAATTTACTGATTACAAATTATATTTTATGATACTACTACTTAATTTACTACTATTATTAATTAATATATTTAACTTTAATTCATAGAATAAAACGAATAAAAACATTTGTGTACCATTCATTATGAAACAAGTTTTTTTACAGAGTTTTGTGAGCATTTACTATTATTATTTATTAATAACAAGTATTCTTCGTCTCTCTTTCTCCTCATCTTTCTCCTCTTGCCGCTTGCTAATTTTAGTAATTTCAATATCTAAAAGTCAAATTATTCTCCACGATTGGTATAATAATAAATATCATTAAAATAATAAGAATATATATGCAAGGGATGGATTTCACTTTATTTTTTTCTCGATATTTTAACTTTATTTTGTGTTCACGTATCACCTTAATAAAGTCAAATTAATACATGACATTTACACACAAAAAATATTTTACATAATCAAAACAAAAAATATTAAATTTATTGGCACACTTTAATAAATATAAAGATATGGATGTATTTTTCATGATATATTATTGGTTGATTAATATCTCTAATAATAATAATAATAATTGTATATAATAAATAATGTGAACGAAAAGAAAGAAATAATAATAGAGAGAAGATTGAAGATAATGATCAATTTTCTTTTCTCGGTAAAGATTTACCACTAAAAACCTCACTTTAAAAATATTGATGTTAATTATCAATCAATCAATCAATCAATCATGCACTCGCTCACTCACTTTATATGTAAAAGTGTTCGTTATGTGCTATACTTTACCAACATATAAATTTTTTTTCACGTTAACTGTTTTTGAACATAATTTTAAACATTCATTTGACTGTGTGTACTCTTTCTATTAATATATTTTTAATATGTATATTTTTTTCTTTTTGCTTTATTTACATTTTCCTTTTACGCGTATTGATATGCAACACATTAAACATATCTATATTATTGCCTTTTACGTGTGATGGTGATCAATAAAATAATGTTAATAATGTTATCTATTCTATTTCAATTGACCAATCAACCAATTGAGTCGATCAATTAAACATGTTATATTACAAATCAATAATGGCTTGCGCTTATACAGGTTTATTTATATATTATCATGCTTACTTGCAACTTTGTTTAAATCTTGACATTTTAACAATAAAGATGACGATTATCTGAAAAATAATTTTTAAGGGGCATGATCTAAATTAATTACAAACAATTAATAACAAGGAAGTTGAGAAAGTTGAAGACGAACAAAAGATAAAAGATAAACGAGGGTGAAATAAAGAAACGAAGAAAATATTATAAAAGAGAGGGAAGGTGATCATCAAAAACTTATATTTTAAAAGTTTATTTGATGATCATCAAAACAGGTTTTTCAATTTCTTTTATTATCACGTGCAAAATCTAGTTTATGTAATTAATTAATTGCTTGCTTATTTGTTTATTGTAAATTGTGACAAGAACTTGGATTATCCCTCCGAATATGTAAAGTATTGTTGGTATGTATATTTGTGTATCAAAAGTAAAATAAGTAAAAATTTTTATTGTTGTTTTGATTACAGTTAAAGCCTCCTTCCTTCTCTTCAAAAGAAAGGAATGCAACAAAAATATCACGTGCGCACGTGACTGTTTACAGGGCTAACACCCTGAAATCATGGTTATGATGTAATATGTGAATGTGCGTATAAATTATATATATTTACGCATTAAGTAAGTAAAAATGTGAAAAATGGTTTTTATTGTTAACTTGACTATATACATTAAAGCTTCATCCAAATGACTATGTAACGAAAATAATCACCTGACCACGTGCCTGTTTACAGGGTAATAAATACCCTGTAATAAATGGTTATGATGTAAATGTGAATGTGCATGCATGTAAATATTTGTTTTTGTACATCAAATTAGTCCATTCAAAATTACATTTTGGTAAAGAAAGAAGCTGTACTGGCGGTTTTTTTATAAATTCTTTCTTCATTTTTTTTTTAAATAAACATCAAAATATAATGCATGCATTGCACAATGGAATAAATTAATAATAAATATGATATTATATTATATCTTATTATTCAAGATTTATTTGGATATAAGGTTCATCCACACAATCTTAATCCATCCAAACGTTGTTTAATCAAACAAATTGTCTAACCCGCATTACATAGGTAAATAACTTTAAATGAAATATAGCGTCATCACACATAATGTACGTCTCATAATATTGTTTTTAACCTTTATTAAAAAAACACAAATATTCATACGTTTTATTGGATTTCTTATTCTCCCTTTTTTTAATAATTTAAGAAAATGTGAAAATTAAATTATTTTAATGTGTGACCAATTTATTTTATTGAAATGTACATAATTTACATTCATTCATTCATATTTTTATAGTTTGGCCACCTTTTATCCTTCCCTTTCACTGTGCCATTCTCCTTCTTTCGTTCCTTTATTTTTTCAAGTCAAATGATATTATTTATCATCTGAATGATCGTATGATTGGAACTAAACCATTAATTAACCTGGAAAACTCCCAACTAACTAACTTCTAATCATTTCACTCGCACACACACGCTCATCCAAAATCCATCCATGATTAACAACATATTTAGAAGATTGAATCGACATCAATGGAATTCGCGTGTCAACAACAACAAATAATATATAATATTATTACATTTTTTTTTGTGTTTGGTGGTCATATGATGAATTTGTTGTTTGTATTACCCCACACAAATTATTGCCAAATATGTAATATAAAGATAGATGAAAGTTTTTTGTTCGACAAACAAAGAACAAAGTAGTTATATTATGTTTTCTTTACATGAAAGACATATTGCTATTTTAAGATCCGAATTGATTGGTGTTGGAAAAATTTTTTTTATGTGATTCGGATTTGAGTTTCTCAAAGTTTGTTCCATTTGTATTGTATATTCTAGGTTCGAACATAATAATAAATAAATAAATTAATACAAGTACGTATGTGTATTATATAATAAATTAAATATTTTTCCGATAAGTTATCTTTGCAGCAGGCTCAACAAAAAAATTTCTGTTTTATTTTTCGACGATAATAATAACAATAATTACTTTTGTTATTCTCATTGATTTTCCGAATTTGTACAATAAAAAAAAGACGGATCAAAAAAAAAGGTTTTTTTTTGTACGTGAATGAATGTGTATATACGTAAGTTGAATGTTGACGAGATTTTGAGTTTGCATATACTGCATATACTACCTAACACTGTAAGAAAGTATTATTTAGCCACATGTAAAAAAATTACTTCTCTGCAATCCTTTTCTTTCTCTGATCTAAAATGAATGACGAAATTAAAAAAAAATTGTAAAATTTGAAACTATAATTGAATAATAATGAATGTATTATATATTATCATCGCTAAAATATAATAATTACATAATATTTATTAAAAAAAATAATCAAAACAATACATAATGTTTCGCTTTTGTTTTAACAACAACCAACAAAATTTGGTGAAATTAGCGAGTGAATGATGTGTATGGATTTATATTGGTCTATACAATATTATCAAGCAATTAATAGGTGATAAATAAATCGAAAGATAGTGAAAAAACTACATAGATAAAGAAATTATATATACAAAAGGTCATTTGACAATTAAGGATAATTAACATCAATTAATATTAATTTAAGCCATTGATTTGTTTAAGTCGAATTTTTTATTGGATTAACTAAATAAATAACTATTAATATCAAATTGGTAAATTATAAAAATTAAAAGATATTAAAAACGGTATATTTATTGATTAGAAATTTTTTAAAAATTATTTTTTTTGGTCGATTGAAAGAGAGAGAGCTCTCGGGTGAATATGGATATTTGATAAAGTTTAATAATAGGAATAATTATAATAATTGTTGTTATTGTTTGTCAATTGATTTGTTGGAGTAAATTAGTAAGTTTTAGTATTAGTAGTAGCAATGCATACATCATGTATGTTATTATTATTTATGCAATTGTATGAGAGAATTTTAAAAAAAAAATTTTAAAATTTTAAATCACCTACTTTATATCACCAACAAATATATCATATGCCATACATCACCAGTTTGACACATCACGCGCAACATTAACAGTTAGTGTTTACACGTTACTGTTATGGCATTAATTTTGCACGTTAACTATTATCATTACGTAAATGCATACATACAATAGTGGATTTAACCAAATACATAATATTATATTTAAAATAACAAAACCAAAGATATTTTCAATGAGTAAAAATAAATTTATTTTTGAATGATAATAAAGACAACTTTGCTTTGCTCGTTCGTACACAGGAATGATTTTAGAATAACCTTTATGATTGTGTGTATGAATGATTTATTAATTGATTGGTTGATTGGTTAATCTTTGATTTATTTCCTTGTATAGCGAATTTTTTAAGTGATAATTACGAATAAGCTGTGGTTTTTTATTGTGATCAAAAATCAAAAATTAATGAATAGTGATTTGAGTGATGTAATTATTTAATATTATTATTATATTAATTTCTCCTATTTTTTTTTTTTTTTTTTTGCCACATAAAAAATATTTATTATATAATATATATATATATATAAATTAAAATTGAATTAAAAAAAATTTTTTTATATTGGACATTTTAAAATTTTTTTTTTATTTGTGAAGGAAAATAAAATTATATAAATAAAAAGGATGAAGTTTTTATCTTCTACTTTTTTTTCTCAATTTCTCCAACAACTTTAAAAAAAAAAAATAAAATCTTTATCTTTTTTTTTCATTTTCGAAAAAAATAATAATTTATTTAATAAAAATAAATAACTTAATAACAATAATATTATAACCTCTATAAAAATAAAAATCATTTTTCTACAACTTTTTTAATAATAACAATTTATAACAACTTTATAAAAATGAGTACAATCACAACCACAACCACAACCACAACTCCATCAAAATTTTTTCATATAACAGCATTTAATAGTTCGCCTATATCAACAACTACACCTGGTAGTAGTTCTCCTACAGCAACAACAACGATTCTAGCCTGTAATAATCATTTACAACAACAACAACAACAACAAACTCAACTATTAAAATTACAGCAACAAAATAAAAAAAAATCACAAAAAAAACTACGCAAACCTCCGTCATTCGACACCTATATCATCAATAACAACAACAACAATAACAACGGTTTACAAAAAATAAACGAAACTGCTACTAATACTTCTAATAATATACCATATTATAATTATTATCGTCGTAACTTAAGAACTTCATCTTTATCTTCCAACAGCTCACTCTCCTCATCTTATTCATCCGATTTTTCCAACGATGATAACAATTCCTTTGTTTCCACCTCAACTTTCGACAACAACAACAACACTGCTTCTAACAACAACAATAAAACTATCAGCACCACTTCACATGAGTACGATCATATCAACTATAATACTAAACCTCATCATCATCGCATTCGAAGAAGTTCAGCGACCACAAAATTTGTTAGATTTGCTACTATAATTGACGATGTAAATCATGACGCCGATGATTCCGGAAGCATAACCAGTTCAACTTGCAGCTCAATTGATGGTGATGATTTTGATGTAGAGGGCGATGAATTCTTCTTTCCAAATAGCGATTTCGTTGTGCCATCAAAAATATCATAAATTTCTGGATATTGTGATGTGTGCGGATCGTTGACGACCCGATCGTTTTTGATGAATGGATGAACGAAGTGGGATGGAAGAGGAATTGAATTGTTTATTTATTTATTTTTCTTCTTTTATATTATTTTCTCCAGGGTAAAATTTTTTTTCCCACAATACACACAATTTAAAACATTAATCAAAAACTATATAACAAAAATCAAAAAAAAAACACTTTCACTTTTAAGCAAATTTATTTCATTATCGTTTTTTCATTGCGTTACACAACAATACCAAAAGACTTTTCTCCCCTCCTCCTTCTCCTGCTCCTCCTCCTTGATGATGATGAATGTAAATAAAACGTATTAACTATAACTTGTTTAATAATAATGATCATCGTCATCATGCATATCATTAGTAAATGTTGTGAGCGAGTGAGCATTGATCCCGATTAAATATAGTAATGTAGAAAAAAAATCAACCCAAATTTTTCTTTTATCTTTGTAAATTTGTAAATTCAAATCTAATTTTTGAATCTAAAGTTTTTTCTCGAAGAAAAAACAAAATAAATAAACTTTGATTTTTAGTGAAATTATTTACGCGTGTTTTTTTTTAATTTATTAAATTGGTGGTATTAAAGTTACACAAGAGATCATAAGATGAACAACAAGTTTAGAAATAATCGGCAATACTACAAATATCTTCTAACTACATATGATGAACAACAAATCTTGGCCTCCTCTTCTTTATCCCTAACTTAATAATAAACTTTTAACAAATTAGCCCACTTATTATTATTCCTTTAATGTATCCATTATCCTCCTTTCTCCTTGTTATTGTTAATTGTTCTTAAAAAATTAAAATTATTTATTATAAATATGAATTTTACGTGTGCATATTAATTGGTTGTTTGTTATTATTATAATATAATGTTATAATTATAAATAAATGGAGTATACAAACCGAGCATTTCATTTAATGCAAAAAAATATTTCCAGTTGTGTTTCTGACATAATTTTTTTCAAGTTTAAAAACAAGTTTTTTTTTTCTTTTTCTTCCACTCATTTTTTTCAATTTTCTCTTGAGTATCATTACTTTATTTGGCAATTTAATAAAGTTTAAATTGATACAAATTTTGTGTGGTAGGGTATGATAAAAATAACAAGACTTTATGATTATATAATTTTTTTTGTCCGTCTGATAAATTTTTACTATTCAAGTTGCTTAATTAGCTTATAAAATAATTAATTAATAATTAATTAATATAATATAATATAATAATAATAATAATAATAATATAATAATATAATAATAATAATAATCTATTAATAATAATAATAAGAATAATAATAATAATAATTTTTTTATTGCGTGATTTTCACAATTCAGATCAAGCCTTCTTTTTGTAGTTCCATTAATGCATCCAAATCATTTGGTTCCGAATGTTCTTGAATAAAACAACTATCGATTCACCTCAACAATGAATTGGAGTTTTTATTCCCTGTACCTTTGTATCATCATATAGGGGCGTGCCATTTTTGTTTAAAATAATTCAAATAGTCAAATAAAGTATTATAGCCCGAAGGAAGACAAAATAAAAATTATATTATCTCATCACCGCCCCCAATTTACAAATCACATTTCAATTAAGTCATTCTATGAATCTCTTCATCATACAATACCCTAAATGATCATTGGGACGTACAACTTATACTATTATCGTTACGGATTCCTCACATGATATCATTTCTTGCACTCGGCAATATGTGTCATGGGTTCTTGGGTTTCTAAATGAGCCAGCCAGCCTTCATATAAACAATGATATCATCACTTCAATTGGTGCAATGCTAACTTTAATGAACTAGACGGGGCCTTGACGATCATTAAAAAACTTTTTCACTGTTCCAGCCAGCTACCTCAACAATCACGTCAATATAAAATATAAATATAAAAGGGAAACTTCCTAAAATAGAAATCAGAGACAACGCGGACTTAATATAAGAGCTTGTAAAAAAGCGAATGCATTGATTGACGAGATAAAAAAATAATTTATTATCATTACAATTAGTAATTATACTATCTATTTTTTATATTATTGCCTCCACCAAATTTTTTTCCCTCTTTACAATTAACAATTAATATATGTATTTTTTTTTTTGATTGATCAATTAATTAAACTAATCAAAACAACAATTAACAATTAAATAAAATAAATAAATAAATTAAACAATTAAATATAAATAATTTTAAAAAAGAAGTCAAATAAATAAAATTTTTGTTGTTATTATTATACAATGGTGTTGCTTTTCTTCCATACCATCGAAAATTTATTGGCAAAACTATTAATTCCATTATTACTAACATTGTTAACATTATTATTATTTTGTTGATTCCAATAACTATGATTGTTGTTGTTGTTGTTTGTTCCAACGCCATTACTAGCATTACTACTGATATTACCATTAGCACTAGCACCATTCATTACATCTTTGACTTTTCTCAACATGGCCAATCCTTTAAGCTTTACTTCTTGAGCTCGTTGATATGTTGCATTTATAGCTGTTGTTGTCGTTATTGGATTTTTATTATTATATATTGACAGTGATTTATTTTGGTAATTATCGTAATATACATTTCCACTAGCTCCATATGATGCGTAATATTCGTTATCTTCTGCTTCTGTGTCTGATGAGATGTCGATATCTTCTCCATTTAGCTTGGCCAACAATCTTTCCTCTCGCATTACATATGCTTCTGATAATACTATCAATGGGTCTTGTATTGGATAATTCTGTATTATTGAGATGGAAATAATGGTGATGGATATTATTAATGCATATGTTGATCGTTATTATAATCAATTAAATTATTTATAATTATCAAATCGTAAATAATTAATTGTCTATAATGATATTTACCTGCAATAATTTTATATTATCTTGTAATGTTCCCGCAAGTAATTGTTTTTCTACACATCTAAATAAATAAATAAAAAATGTTTTTTTAATAAACAAAGCAATAATTAACAATCAATCTAATAAATTTTTATTATTATACATACATTAACATTGCACAACAAAAATCTATTAAAAATTCAAATCCACTATTTGACTCTTCAACATCTCTATCTGCGAATATAGAATCCCATAATCTAATTACATCTGGCAATGTGAATTCTTGTGTTAACATTACTGTTATCCATCGAAATGAGTAGTAAGTTGGATGTAATCCTTTTTTTTCCTAATTATAAAAAAAAAATTTTTTTGTAAAATTATATTTATATCAATTATATCAATCAATTGTAATTAATCGCATTAAAATATCACATATATATTATCTACATACTAAATCAGCCCATAAATCATACGCAAAATTTTTTAATCGTCTATTTAATTTTTTCATTGTATGCCCAATACCAGTCGAATCATCCATATCCAAGCTTCCAACAAAATGATCACGAACATGTGACATCAACAATGTAAATATAAAAAATGAATCTGCCTCTGCATGTGCTCTTCCCTTTTCATCACTATCGTTTGCCATGGTATAATAAATTGGTCCAAGTATCTTATTCATTCCTTGTACGTATCCAACGCCAGGATTTAACTTTGCATAGATAAATAAGATTCTTTCTATCGCTTCCCAGTGTAAATCTATCTCTCCATCATCACATGACCCATCAGACCCTCCTCCCCCTCTTATAACGCTATTTTTATTTATGTGCTGCACGCGCCTAAATATTGATCGCCGTGTCGGTATTGGTGTAACAGGATTATTTTTACTATTAAAATCGTTATTATTATCATAGAAATCAATGTGTGTGTTGTAAGATATTGATGTTGACCTAGATGAATATGGTGAATTATAATCATTATTATTATTCCTATTATTATTACCACTACCACTACTGCTACTGCTACTACTACTATTATTATTATTATTGTTATATTTATTTAATGATTTCTGATTATGCTGTTGCTCATACGCTATTATGGTTAATTGAGCTTCTAAAGCAGCAACCTCAGCATCTAATTCAGAATTTGGTGTCATCACAGTGGAATCACTATAATTGCTCATATCATCGTCATTTGTCAAATCTAAAGTTTCAAATATTGAAGGAGAAATAGCACCACCATAATTTTTGTTGTTGTTGCTGTTATTATTATTATAATTATAATTACTGCTGCTACTACTACTATTAATATTATTAATAATATCTTTTGGTGAAAGTTTTGGACTTAGTGGACATAGTGAACTATGCGGTACTGGTAAATGAAAAAATGCAAGATCTGGTAATGTCCGTCTTACATCATTATCTATTTGCTCTAATATTACATTGTCCGCAAAATATTCTGCCCATTTTGAATTTGGCGCTGAATTTAATGGCTATTGAAGATTATATTATAATAATAGTAATAGTAATAGTAATAATAATAATAATAATAATAATAATAATAATAATAATAATAATAATAATAATAATAATAATAATAATAATAATATTTATTATAATATTATAATTTTTTTGATTGATTGGAAAAAGAAAAAAATTTGGAATAAATATAATTTATAAAATGTAAATATATAACGAAAAAAAAACACGATTATATTATTAATAATTACAAAAATAAAAAAAATAAAAATTATTAGTTTATTAATTACAATTACATGATCGTCTGTTGTAAAATTGGGATTTCTTAATTCTTCTTCACTTGGGTTCGCCAGCAAGTCCCTAACGAAACTCTAAATAAATAAATAAACAAACAAATAAATTAATAAATAAAATACATATATATACATATTATGTATATTGATAATGACGATGATGACTAACGTAATAAGTTTCTCTATTTTCATCAAGTGTTTTATGCCATTTCCTTTTGTCAGTTGGCAAATAACCTAATAATATCTTTATTATGCGTATATATTGTTAATATAATTTTTTCTCCGTTAAAAAAAACTACAATAATAATAATTGTAATGACAACAACCTTCCAACTTTTTTGTCTGATACCAGGCTCATCAGGAATCCCTGAAAGGTTAAGTTGATTAACAAATTAAGCAAGGTATTGAAATAAAAATATATAAGTAAATATATTTAAACTCATACCACGAAAACATAGATGTCGAAACTTGTATAGATCTATAATATGATCCTCATTTAAATCTTTTGTACTAAGAATACTTTCAAATTGTACAAGTCTAAAGAAATAAAGAAAAATTATTAAAAGCAACTTTACTTATTTAATATAAATAAATATTTACCTTTCTTTATACTCCATTTAAGCCTATTTTTTTTTTTTAAGAAATAACCTTTCAACAATATAATAAAAATGTCTACGTTTGTGCGACATGGTTTTTGAATTAGAAAAATTTTGTATTACATCATTAATTATTATTATTATTATTATTATTATTATTGTGATTGTGCCTCCAATTGAACAAAGCGATTCTTTTATTACTTTGTAAAACGTAATACAACGGTAAAATGACGTCTATTTAAACCTGATCACTTTGCAATTAAAAATGAAAATTATTAAAATGAAATGTTTTCCTTCTCCCTCCTATCCTTCCCTCCTTCCCTTCTTCTTTCTTCCTTCATTTCATTTCTTTCTTCCTTCCTTCATTTTTATTCCTTAATAATAATTATCGTTGACTGAGTAAATATGAATGCTATCATTTTATTTTTAGGAAATTACTAAAAATATCGTAAATCTATTAAATATTATCCCCCCTTCTCCACATATAGTTACTAGCTATATAATGAATAAAAAAAAGAATTACTTTATTCAAATCACCAGCTTTAATAATATTATTATATCACAATTGATATTTCTTTTCAAAGCTAGTAACCCCCATATTTATATCACGAAAATTGATTTCATATGGAATAAAAAAATTGAGTTGATAAAAATTTTTTCTTTAATTTATTATGAATGTGAATGAATTGGTGACGGGGCATCGGATGATAATGTATTATTGGTAGTAAATTATTAAAATATCATATAAATGAATAAATGAATCAATAAATTGGTCAGTGAACCATTACAATTGAATAAATAAAATTTTTGAAAATATATTAACGTCATATTTATTAAAAGACGGGTTTACATGGTTTTATGTCCCATGAATTTTTCATTCAAATGTGTAGATTAAGGAAGTGTACTTTTCTTTGCATGTACCCTAGCTATTCTTCTATATATCCTTATTATAAGACTTGTGTTTATTTAGTAGAAAGGTCTTGTTACACGATGCCATTTTCAATTTCAATTATAACTTATCTATGGACCAGATAACTCAAAAATGGATGTGTCACAAAAAAGACCATGTTTTGAAACAAAAAGATTATGTAGTATGACGATGCCATTTCTTGAATCAATGGAATAATTATTTTATGGCAAATTCATATAAAGAAGATCGAAAAGTTTTTTTCTAAAACAGTTTAGGCGACAACAATTTACAGAGTCAATTTATTCACAAGGATAATAAATAAATAAATAGAAGATTCCAATTAGTAAAATATACGTATATATTCGTGATTAGACCGCGATGCCACATTAAACCTTCTAATCGTGATATATTAATTAACAGGTTTGTAAAAAAAAATATGAATTTTGGTGATGTGTTGTGAAAAGATGAATTTTAGTGATGTGTTGCGAAAAGATGAATTTGGTCATGCTCCGTAAAAAAACAATTCTTGCAAGTAAATTTTAATTATGAAAAGTTATCTTTTGACTGAAAAAAAATAATTTTCCTTCATAACAGTCAAAGGGAACTTGATTGTGAAATTCAACAACCCTATCAGTTTAGATCTATAACAGGTAATAAATCAAAGAATAAAATTCCCTCTTACAGAATTGCTTGGACTTGTACTGGCACATTGGATTTTCCCACGGTAACATCATTTTTAGCTTTACATCCTCTATTCAATTAATTGTTTGTGAATCTATTTTTGATGGTGGCGGATTTGATACTGTAGTAGTAGTATTTATATAAAGTTTTTGCCATGATTTAATATTTTATCTGATTGATGGATCCATTCATGCAAGATATTATATGCAAGTTACTAAAAAAGTGTAAATTAGACATTGGCATAGCTAATCACATGATTGTATATATTTAGATGTTACCCAGGGCCACGCAAAATAGGTTGTGTCACCTCGGATTAATCCATTGTTTCTGAGTGACGACATATTTGTTAGATGATAGAATTTTTTTATTAGGTTTTAGCAAGCTCACACTCGTTCGAAAAAATAAATGTTAATATTAATCATAATAATCATAATAATCACATAATAATTTTGCTCTTTGATAACTTTTATAATGGAATAATTCGTGGCGGTAGTTAACGAGCAATTATTATCATGTCCATTATGTAAGCAGGTGGTACACAAAATTTTATTAAATGTAAGATGTAATATTTATCGTAAATCTTTTTATGGAAATGAACGAAACCAAAAATAAAAGCTCTCATTGTTCTCAGAAGGATTTTAATTTAATAATCATTATAATAATAATAATTCTTGTTTTTCAAAAAAAAAACCATCAATTAATTAATAATTCAATTACATGTAATCTGCCGCTTAATGTCATTCGATTAACCAACGCTTAATCAACCCAAATTTATCCTTGTTTATATATAAATAATCAAAAATAACTAGGAAGTTTTTGATTTTATAATAACAATAATGATAAATCAGGTTTGGCGTTTTGATATTTTTTTTCCTCATACATCTAATGAAAATAATAATAAATATCTAATTATAATACGCAGTAATAATAAATACACATGCAATAATTCCACTATAGAAATAGTTTTAATTGTGTGCGTGTGTATTTGGAGTAGTAAATGAAATGAGTTAGTAGATGGAAAATAATAATAATGGCAAAATTCAAACAACGAAATATTAAATGGTGTAACTAGTTGGTTATGTTATTATTTAGATTTACATAAGAGATAATGCACATATTATTTATATGAAATAATTCACACAATTAGCAATTGAAAACAATGACAATAAAAAAAATTAAAAATTGGCGAGAATATACATTTAATATCACATGTGATAAAATTAAATTTATCACTTTTTCGTAATATCGCGACAAAATTTTTTTTGTAAAAAGATTTCATCACTAGACATTACGTTAAGTTAATAAACAAAAAAAAAAACCACGAATAATTAAGACGCGTCAATTATATATTTTAAAAGAAAAAAATTTCATTATAAGTCACATCATATAAATAGAAATATTAAATCTTTATTTGGCAAGAAACAATAAAAATATAGAAATTGACCGAAAAGGTCACGCGCTTCCCTCGTGTACACATACACACATATAAAAGTAGTCCTTATAGTTGTAATTGTTACTTACGCTTTGATTTCTTTCTGTTTGTTTTACTTTTTTGTTTAAATTTTTTTTTTTTAGTATAAAAAAAATCAATAAGATTTAAAAAAATCTCGATTAAAACAATTTGACAGATACTCTGCTACCACTTTTGATAACAATTAATCTTCAATTCCTTTTTCACACTTATTATTACTATAATAACAATATAACTTTATCCTTTACTACATGGATCATCATCATTATCATCATCATATTCCTTTTAAAGAAACAAAGAACAAAAATTAAATCTTCTCCTAAGCTTTATGAAACGTGAGAGCACACGCTATTATTACGCACGAATATAAAAATCAACTTATTAAATCTTGAAGAAAATATTTCCTTTCATTAATACATATATATAATAACCAAAGTATTTAAACAATGACATTTCTCCATTTTTATGTACATCGCACATCATCTTACATATAATAAATTAAGTTGATTCTTTATTTGATCTATCTATTGATTTGAGATCGAGATAATCGAAAAAAAATGTGAGTTATGTATGATGATATTCTCGATTATATTCCAGTGATAAAATTATTTCTTAATCACCTCAAAATTACTGCGTAAAAATTTATCACCAAAATTCAATATTATCCCGTGACATGAAGGAATATCGAATTCCTTCTGTTAGTTCGTGTAATCTGGGCGCATATTCACAAGATTAACTCAGAGAATTATAACAAATAAATCACTTGAAAAAAGCAAATAATTTACTGCGGATAACTTATCAAAAAGAAATTAGATTCTCGTGTTTTTTATTTTTTTGTAAGTTAATTAAAAAAAAAATATATATATTAAATAATGTAAAGTAAATAATGGTTAAATTAAAAATAATTAAATAAATAAATTATTATATGACATCTATTAATTATAATTATTTTTTATTTTCAAAAATTGCTAATAAACTTTGCCAAACTACATTAGGACTCTGAGAGGCATCAACTGCTGACCAAATACCCTTTGCTTTATAATAATTAACCACTGGAGTAGTCTGTTGGTGATATGTTGCTAATCTTTTCTTTAAAGTTGCTTCATTATCATCACTACGTTGAATTAACGGTTCACCTGTAACATCATCTCTACCTGGCACTTTGGGTGGACTATTATATTATTATTGTTATTTGTCAAATAATTATAGTTATTATTTATATTATATTATATTATATTATATATATTATATATAATCATCTCAATCACTTACTTGAAAATTCTGTGATAAGTTCTACCACTAGCAGTATGGATCAATCTACCAACGATTCTTGACACTAACAAATTATCATCAATGACCAATTCAACTGCATTATCTAATTTTTTATTATCTTTCTTAAGCATTTCATCAAGTTTTGTAGCTTGTGGCACAGTTCTAGGAAATCCGTCTAAAATAAATCTATTCATATATATAAAATAATTGTTATTGTTATAAAAAAATCACTTTTCCTCTCACATCCCAATTAACAATAGTAGTAACAATAAATATACCGACCCATTTTTACATTCAGGGTTTTTTTTTAATTCATCTTCAATCATTCCAACCATAATTTCATCTGAAACTAAACCCCCGGAATCCATAATTTTCTTAGCTTCTACTCCAAGTTTAGTTTTTGCTGCTACTTGTGAACGTAACATATCACCTGTTGCTAAATGACAAATACAATATCTTTCTTTGATCTTTGGTGCTTGGGTTCCTTTACCTTTATAATTATTATCAATCAAATCGATCGATCGATTATTTTATGAGCGCAATATAGCCAAATTTAAACGAATAATAAATAAATTTACCTGCTCCTGGAGGTCCTATAAGTATCATTCTTAATGACTCATTTCGTTTAGAATTATCTTTTGACTCGTTAGAATTATAAATTAATTTTTGTTCAAGTTTTTCAATACGTTCATTAGCAATGTTAACTACGTAACGTAAATGTGCCAATTCTTCTATGACTCCTGTTGTTGTTCCTTCACCTCCATTACTTTGCTCTTTTGGTTTTGGTACCATTCTGGTTTATTTTAAAGTTTATATTAGTAAAACACTTGTTATTATAAATATTATTGAAAAAAAACAAAGGAAGGAGAAATAAAAATTAACAAATTTATTATATCAAAAATTTTTTGAATAAAAATTTTTTTTGATCTTCTTTATTTCCTAATATGGTTATTCGTAATACATATAATACATAGCTTGAAAATCACGTTACAATCATATTATAAAACATAAAACATCAATAATCATCACGACATTTTCAATCACACTTCTTTGTAGATCTTTGTAGTTTCTTTTATTATTTTATTATTTCTTTCTATCATCAAAAATTTATATTATTATTAATATCACATTATACACAATACAAACAATTGTTCAATTCTTTTTAGTTTTTCTTTGTCTGTCCTTTCGGTATTTCAGCAGCCCTTGTTATAAGATCATACAACTTATCAATACAATCTTCTATATTTCTAGATTGTGTACGTGTTAATTGAGACACCAATACAAGCTCACCTTTCTTATTGTTATGTGATTCCTATAAATAAAATAAATAACTAACCAAAATTGCGCATGTGATGCACAAAACGAAATGGAAAAAGAAGGAATTGTTTATTGTATTGGATTTTTATTTTATTTCTTGCATATTCTGGTATCCAATAAGTTTTATCCAGATTAATTCTAATGTCCATCTTGATATTAACTAAGCTTGTTCATGCGGAAAGTTGAAATTTAGAGAGGAAATAATAAATTATCAAATAAAAATAAGAATATTATCAGCATTGTTAATTTACCTTTGTTAACATTTATCCACCAGGTTCACTACTTCTTGCAAAACTAATTTCCAACATTTCTAATTATTATAATTGTATTAATTATTAAATGTTAATAAAGCTCCGAACTGTTCAGAGCTTAGGCTAAAAACTACTTGGCAGTTCCTGGTATTCTAATTTTTGCACTCTGCTTATTTAGAACCAAGCCCACTAATTTTTACTGAAACAATAAGAATTTAAAGGTTTGCGGAGGCGATGAATTTTATATATGAATTGAAAAAATAGAACATCCTTGGGATTTCTATTCGAATAAAACAAATGAAACGAACAAAACGAATAAACAAACTAAATAAACAAAACGAATAATTCGAATAATTCGAATGAATCAATAATTCGAATAAAACGAACAAAATGAATAAAACGAATAAACGAGTAATTCGAATAAAGTGAATAAAGCGAATAGAATGAATAATTTGAATAGAACGAATAAAGCGAATAATTCGAATAATTCGAATAAGAATTTGTATTACGAATATGTAGGAACTCTGAACGTACAAATTTTTGTGATGAATTTATGAATATGAATATGTAACGATCCGACCAGCTGTATCTAAACATGGCATTATGTATAAAATTCAATCATGATCTCCATAGCATCATTACCATGGTATAAATTATAGATTATGTATGTATTTAGAAACAGGATCCTTCCAGCATCTCTACTTCGTAACACATCCGCTAAACTAAGCTACAAGTTATTATAATTTTTTGAAGTTATTATGTATATTTTTGCGTAGTTAACGAATTTAGAATGTCTGAATTTTTGGGTCAAATGTAAACCGAAAAACCGAACCGAGCCGAGAGGTTTGGTTTCGGTTTGGCTTTAAAAATTCGGATTGTAAACCGAACCGTTCGGAGCTTTACTTATGAAAAGTTTAAAAAGTTACTAAAAGAAGAGAAGATACTGACAAAAACAGTTCTAGATATGAAATAGTTAATGTGAAATCTCATTCCCCTTTTTATCAACTGCTGAGGATGTAAAAGATGTTTAAAAGAAGATTTGATCAGTGATTTAATAGTTATTACTACTACTAAAAACAGTGATAAGGGCAAAAAATCTATGGTAGTGGTGGAAAAAGAGAAAAGATTTTCCAAAAACTTTGGCAAATTTCCTCAATCTAAATTAGGAGTAATGATGGTTGAAAAATCAATGGTCAATGTAAACCTCATTATTAAAGAAAATGCACCTGATTTTGATATCTTGTAGATGAAGAAGAAGATTGAGTAAAATTATGAATGTAACAAAAATACCACAGGAGATAACATCTACCACCTCAAAACTACTGTCTCAGACTTAAAATATGAATATTTTGCCAAAGCTGCAGAGGAATATAAAAATAAAATTTTAAAGAATGAAAAAAGTTTGATGGTAAATTCATTTGATTGTGAATAGCAAGTACAACTTTAATTTTAGGTTTTATAATTGCTATGGTTTATGTTGTCAAAAGGACTATATAAAAAAAAAAAATAGACCAGCATGTAATAATGTGATTCATTGCATTTTAAGGATTTCTGCTTTCTTTCTTAATGTTTATTATTTTTCTTTGTGATGGTAACTAAATTTTGGGCCCAATGAAAAGCGAATGTTACAGATTCCTGTCCCCTGTGCTTTTCTAGCATCCCCTAAATTTTTAACCCTGAAATCCTTGGTAATACAAATGTTCACTTTGGCTTTGTTGCATAATTTCAAAAACGAACAAGTTATCACTAATTTTGAGTAAGCTAACACTGAGAGAAATCCTCAAATATCACTGAAAAATTCGGTGCCCAACTCTCCTATAAATGGTTTTTATGTGTATAAATAACAGTGGCTAAGGAGGATTCTCAACTCTGTCAGGTTAAAAAGGTATATAAGCCTGAAACTGATTCGTCAATACCCACTCTGAAAGTAAAGATAATGAATACCTTTCATGAAGAGAATCAAATCAGATCGCGGATATGTTCATTCATATTTTAAACTGTTTATTATCAATGTTCACAGATATCGTAAACATTTTACCAGTGTATATATCTAATACTAAAGTGACTTGATTGGAATTACGCCAAACTGCATCCGCAAAATGAATTCTTGACATGTGTAACTAACTGTACCGATTTGGATATAATACTAAATTTAATTTATTTTTTTATTTTTTTGTCAATTGGTTTTTTTAAAATTTGATTCTGATTAATAATAATATTGCAATATTAGTAATAATAATAAATAATAATAATAATCATGGGTCACACGCATCGTCCAACCGCTTTATCACCTTCAGCTACAAAAACAGCAGAGCTTATGGAAACTCGTGCAAAATTTCGTGAAACATTTGAAAAACCACTTGGATGTATGTTCTCTTCTTCATTCCATAATAACTACAACAATAATGATGGCTACTAATGAATTAATTAAAAATTTTCAGGGTTTAATTCAGTAAAATTGGAAGAAGGTGTTTACTTTCAAGCACCAGATGATATTACCAAACCAGATTCACTGTATTTAAAATTTCAAAATGTTTTAAAAGAAATTATTGAAAAGGAACCTGAATTGGCTGAACAAGTAAAAAATGGTGAAAAAGATTTAGGAGTTTTAGAGAATCATGAAAAAGTAAGATTTATTATTATTATTATTATTATTATTTTACGTTTATGTTCATGTTTATGATTGTATGCGCATGATTCTGTAGGCTAGGGAATTTCTTGGACTTGGACCACCAGTAACTTCACTAGTAACTTTACCATCCGAACAAGAAGAATTAGAAGATTCTTAATTTTCAAAATTCATCTTATTTATTGTCAAGATAATAAAATATTTTTTAGTGATAAATTGGGAGGTTTTTTTTTTTAAAAAAAGATAAATCCTTTATAATAATATCAATTATTTATTATTAGTATTGTAAATTGTTATTAATATCAACATAGTATGTATATATTATATTCTCACAAAATCTTACAAGTTTATAACTTCATAGAAGTCCATTTAACCAATATCCAAAACAAAAAACTTGCTATTAAAAACTGTGGTAAAGTAGATGATGATGGCGATGATGATTGATCGGAATTGACAACATTGAAAAGATGAAAATTATTTGAATCCTTTAATTTATATGATGTCGATGATGCAGTTGAAGAAGTATTATTCATTATTGATGAAGAAGAATCAATATTATTATTGGCGACTATTATATCATCAGTATTTGATAAATTATATTTTTGTCCTGTCAATTCCACATTTTGTACACTTCCAAAAAAATCAGTGACAAGAACCTAAATAAACAATTAAATTAATACATATGAACATATTATACACACAATATATTGATTAATAACCTTATCCAATGGCCTACGAAACAAGTCACTTCTAAAACCAGGAGTCGAATGTATCAATTGTGGATTATAAGAGTCAAACAAATCCTTCAACGTTGCTTTACTTTGCATATCAATTTTTTCTAAAAATTCCAAATTATAATATGTAAATCTATCAATAACTGCCACACCAATATCTATATCCATATGATGCTATTAAAAAAATACATAATTAGCAATGATTATTAATGTACTTTATGTATATTTTAATAACATACAGAATAAGAGTTTTCTCCTAATTCACTACTTCCTGTTGCCAAAATATTTGATGAATATATTTGGCTATACATTGTATTTGCTTGACATGTATCAACCATGAATAATATTTCATGATACCTACAAATTAATCAATTATAGGAGAGTTAGTTATATTGATATTATTAACAATAATAGTAACAATAATAGTAATAATAATAATAATAATAATAATAATAATAATATAATAATAATAATAATAATAATAATATAATATTTTTATCTTCCTTGTAACGTTAATATTACCTTCTTTTTTCCCACATTTGTTCAAAAGCAACCGCTAAATCAAAACTACTAATTTCTTCAGCATCTTGAAATTTTAGAAACTCGTTACCTCCATGTCCAGTCATATAAACCAATACGTTTGATCGATCATCGGAAAGTAACCGTTTTGATCGGGGTGTATCAGGTTCAACACGACCAGTTAAAACTCTAATAAAATTCTCCACTGTCACCTCATAACCTCTATAATCCACTTCTACATTATCACCATACAAATCAAGATATCTTGCAGCATTATTGAAGACAGTTGCCGGGAAAACATTTCTAGGATTACATGCTACATCATCTGCAAGCATCAATATTATATTGGAATCTGGAATTCCGAGACGTTTCACTGTTCTATACATCGATAAAGTATTGGCTATATGTCGATAATTAAACCAAAAACGTGAAGTGCATACCTAATAATAATAACGATATTAACGAATAATAACTTGTTTAGACAAAAAGTCTGATTTGATTTGATGACAAGCTTATATATAACGGTCGTGAGGTTTTTAAATTGCATACTTTGATACTCTACCAAAACCGCCCAGTTGTTTGTATGACCTCCACGACTGAAAAAACCATCAACTAAACTTTCTTTATTACTATCATTTTCACTATTGTTATGATCACTGTTATTATCTTGCGCCAAACATATCTGGAATAAAATGATACAAATTATTATTATTAAAGAATGTTGTATTAAATAAGACTTCATATTTTTTTTGAAAAATGTTCCAATTGAATAAAATTTGCGTCGATCACATTGTCAATTTATTAGTGTCATACACATATTAATATAGGAACAACAGATCACTCTAAATTTGAATAATAAGTTACCAAATTTAGAAAAGATCGTCTACTGTCAGTACAAGAATTTAACTTTAATAAGAAAGATGCTATTAAAATCAAAATCATTAAAATCAAGTTTAAAGAATTAGCTCTGAAAATGAAAGCCAAAACCCAAAAATTAGAAAACCAACTCAACAGATCAAACAACTAAGTAAAGATGCGAAAATTAAGTTCAGCATGAATTTATATTTCGGATTGATTACTCTGCCTATATTAAGATATTGACCTAATCACATTGTTACTATTAACTGGTCACGAAAATTTATCCAACAAGGCATTAATCTTTATTTTTATTTCAA